TGTGTGTATGTATGTGTGTGTGTGCGTGTGTGTGTGGGTGGGTGTGCGTGTGTGTGTGTGGGGGTGTGTTTGTGTGTATGTGTGTGTGCGCGTGTGTGCGCATAAATATATGTGTGTGACGATATATATACAGCTACATAGTATCGCTAATGCAGGCTCTCTGCCTGATATTCACTGTATATCGTCGACGGGACATTCATACTTCATCCTATTTACAATCGTATAGCAACCCAACAAATACGTGCAAACCACTTTGATCGCAGATCATACCGTCCATACATGAAGCCGAAAGCACCCAACCACTCGCCACTCAGACATCACCGGACTGTCGCACCTACCTTTAGTGGTTGCATTCTCGTTCGTATTTGGTGTCTGTCCATGCATGCACAATGTTTCAAGACCGTTCAACACGTTCACGAAAGTAGTGGAGGCTAAGCTAGAGTGTGTTTTTATGTGACATGAGCGGTCTATCCCGCGCTGCTATTTATAGTACTGTCGAGGCCGGCGGCGCACTGGCGTGCCCTCTCGTCACGCTGCCTGCTTATCTCAGCTCGCATCTGAGCGACCCGTTCGGCCACGTACTTATTCACCCGCAGATCTATCTCCGCCTTCTCCTTCTCGCTGAGTATAGTGGGACAACTCCCGGCACTGCCCCTATTGGCATCACGCTTTATGTCCCTCAGGAGTATCTCTGCCTTCTCCTTCTCACTGATCAGAGATGCACACTTGCCAGTGGTACCGGACTTCTTCCCCCTCAGTTTCATCGCCGCCTTGTCCTTCTCGCAGATAATGTTGGTCTCTTTGACCGCCTTGCCCGTTCTGCCCCTGGGCTTCTCACCTCCCCGTAATCTGCCTGGTGCACCTCCAGAGCCCTTTTTAATGCACCTGGGTGCACTGTTGGGAGGTGCGGACAAGTCTTTGACCTTCCCACTTTCGGTCTGTTTGTCGGCCGCCTCCTCGACTTCCTCGTCTACTAACACCCCCAGCATAGTCAACCCCATCAACAGGAGCGATATCGACCAGTTCACATCGCATAACATGTATACCCAGGATTGGTACCATAGCTGGTCTACGGTTAAGGGTATCACCCCCAGTACTATTGCCAGCAGCACACTGCTAGCACTGATAGAGAGAACGGTGTGCGCCAGAGCCGGGAATAGAGCCAGAACACTTGTGTGGAATGCTGACAGCAGTAACAGGTCAGCCAGAAGAAAGTCTATACAGACTGTGATGATAACGAGAGTGAGGCCCATGTAGGCGTCACTACTCATCACTAACACTCTGCCTGTCGCCGGTTCAGCACCGCCAAAGAGTGTGGATGTGGCCATCGGAGCTATCCAACCCTCGGGCATGCTCGCTTTGAACTCATCGACGCTCTGTGCACGCTATGGAGGATATAAAACACTGTTATAATACAGCATACCTACATCAAGAAAAATGTATATCCCAAATCTAAAACAATATAACGAAGCAGCCATACATGCATTTGTAAGTGTATATATATATGTGTGTGCGTGTGTGTGTGTGTGTGTGTATGTGTGTTAAGGTGTG